AATATATATATATATATATATATATATATATATACCCACAATTTCATTATACTGCAGTTTATTTACTTACCAATGTCAGCTTCCTTTCTGTATGCATTCTGAAATATAATACAGAAATAGTATACGACTACATTCATTGGTGAAGTTTTATATGTAATAGCAAGCTAATTCTTCTGCTTCCACGTGTTATGATATTGTCATGAATTCTTATTATTTATTCTTACATTAATTTGCGTAAGTGGTTTTACGAGGTGCGCCCTCTGTGACAGGAAGAATATACACAGGGGGAGCTAAGATGGCGGAGTAGCTAGCGAGGACTGGTGGTGAGTGATCTGTCGTACTGGTTTTGTGATAGCGTTCTGTGACAGATATAGCGACGTGTCTGTTTCACATTGGCTGCTTTGTGGGATTTAAAATGAGACTGCACTGCGAGTTTTAACAAAGTCACATTCAACCACCTGCTCACAAAACTTGCCACACTAAAGAACCTGTAAAGGCCAACCCATGCTCAATATGCAAACAGATAGTTAAAAGAAAAAAAAGTGTTCATACTCTTCTGTTTTGACCGTGGAAATTGATTGACATAACCAGACTGGCAAGTAGGCACACCATCAGCCCAACCATGTTCAATCCGCGCATTCTGTAAAAAAATCAATGTAATTATTACATCTCGTTAATCATTTTCTATATTAAATTATGAACCATTTTTCGTTTGAAATAAAATATCGTATTAATACTATATGACTAAACAGTCAGTTTACATATTCTTGGCATTTTAGCGAATGCACTATTTCGTTATTATCGTGAGAAATAACCTGAATGGTGAATAATTGATTAACATGAAGATATTATATACGTATATAATTTAATGTCATTATTGCAAATTTGTCATTTTAGATGTCATTTGTTTGACAAAAATACAGTGACTTTTTATGACGTGATGTCACCATTTGGAATTAATATGTATCATCGAATGTCATTTTGTGAGATTCGTGACTATGCGATACTTATTGATATTATATTTCCACAGCTGATATAAATAAAGGCAAGCGCTCGGGCATAAAATTAATAAATTTACAATTTAGATTTATTTTTTAGTAATTATCATCATCATTATTGCTAAATATTATTCATTTATTATTTTAAAGATCATGGACTAAATTAGTTCAAGAGAACTATTTCTGTGATGCTCTCCATAATCAGCTTATTTCATATTTCTCTCTACACTGTGCTAATTATTTACTTATTTGTACAGCCCTTGTAAATTCAACAACACTTCATGGAACAACTTCATTCACACATGAATATATATGCGCAAGGCTCATCAGTGTGCCTCTCATAATGATATGTCTATGTTACGTAATGACATATCTGCGTAAATAAATTCAATTGTATTATTAATGAAATAAACGTAAATTAGAAAAGATATTATGGTCGTTTATGGGAATACAAAAATGAAGGCAATGCACGATATTGTTATGAACTGAATGTATGTAACATAACTAAAAAAATAAACATGATGCTATATATATTCAGAATGGGATGCGTTTAAAAATACATAATTACTTATACTGACCTGCCAATATATTACAGTCTTCTGTTACTGTACGAATAATTGATAATCGGCGATGATCTATTTTTCTATCTAATTGAATATGGCTAACCACTCCACGTCCTCAAAAGATGTGCACTTTGTGACGTCACACATTATGTTCAACCAATCAGCTGATTTAAAACAAGACATAATACAGTAATATCAAACACCATTTTTCTTTCGTGACTTGTCTTAATACGTTATTTGGTAGAGTGTCTTTATATTTTTTAAATTATATATATGCACGTTGAAAAAAAAATAATGGTTTTATTTATACGCTGGTTTATCTCACCCGGTCGTCCTGGGTAATGTCTCATGGGAGGACAATAACATGTGTTACCGCATCTGACCAAGTGTTGCAATATTTTGAACTCCATCATGTTTTATATCGTTTATGCACTTTCAAATGGTATCAGGATCAATAACAAATAAAGCAGATGATGAAGTTTTTAGATAAGGGTGGTTCTTGCTGCTGTCACTTTTTTTTATCCTCAAACCTCAGATAAATATTACATTTGAATTTCAAAATACTGTGGCAATCTCCAATTATCTTCAGAACATGTTTTTTGTTAAGCAAAATGCGTGAAATGACACAGTGTATTAAGTATTTTAAGTATGAAGAACTATCGGGACAAATGCTGGGCAGTCGTTCACTATTTTATACTATATAGTTTATTTAATATGGCAATAAATGTAAGAACATAGGTTCTTCTCCTGGAAATTTAACAATTATAGTTATAAGTGAACAGTTTATGAAATAAACTAGATAGATTATTACATTCATTCAAAACATGTTGTAACTAATACACCCAATAACCAAATATATGTCGCAGTTATTACTACATTTTACGCCCGAAACCCAGCTTGCGTGTGTGTTCTGTGTTCAATTTTTGTTGTAGCATATCAGCTTCACCAATACATTTTCAATATTTTTATTCAAATCAATACACAGCAACATATTACCTGTAACCCAATGTTGATTATATCACGTGCGCTTATAGAAGATATGAATTTTGCTTCAACAAATCTTCAACATTCAACACAGGAACGAAATCAAATGGTTATGTGGTTTAGATAGTTTGTTCCAGTTTTAATTCTGAATTGTGTTTTATTTTATCACATCACCAATAAGATTTGGATCACATTATTAATATTATTGCTAAATAATAATTAATGGTAGTCTGCAAAATATACTGGAACTTGTGTGGTATATCAGGATGGGGAATTTGTGGTGTACAGTACTGGAAATTGTGTCGTACGCCATGCTGGCAATTATGTAGTATACTGTTCTATCACCTCAGAAGAAAAATATACGACCACAATAGTCGTAAAATTGTGGAATGTCAGTTTGTCACTTTATTCCTGAAGGCGCTGTTGCACTGTGAATAAGTTTGTGTGATTTTCGGAATTTTTGTATTCCTAAAATTAATTTCGTATAGGTCACATAATTCACATTCAATTCGTGGTATACCACACCGAGCGACGACTATTGCTTAATTATCATATCTGTTTTATCATATGTCAATAAGAATATCCCATATTTTCACATATGTCAACTACTAAGACATATGACAATTATACCATGTAATAAATGTATTAGTTCGAGGCTTATTTGCCAAATTGTAAATTTTATCGTGGGTAGTTTTTGGCAACAAAATTCAGAAAAAAAAATAAAATGATCTTCAATACATTTACACAGAATCACATTGTAGTATATTGCAGTATATTGTACCCTCTTTCAGCTGTAATATAATGAAACGTAGGAATATATTTGAAATCAATATTTTACATCTATGTTCAGTAAATACACTCATATACACACACTAAGTTCAAACAAACTCAGAATATACAGTAAAATGTGCTACTACTGACAATCAGTTTTTAGTATACGTCATTGCCCGTCACAAATTTATGTTGATATCAGAGGCTGCTGAATGTATTGGCAACTTTACAAATTATATGATAAAGTTGTATTGAAAGTTGAAAATTTGCAGGTAAATTTATGCGAGTGTTACAATGGTTATATTCTCTCGGCTGTAAGATCGAAGAATAAATTATTCGAATACCCTCTCTGATAATTGCTGTTTCATGATTATAAGTCATGTAGACATGGGCTCAATGACATTGATGCAGTAGTTAATAGTAAGTCCAAACCAAAAGGACACCTAAGGAAATTTACTTAAAATAAAAATTAAAAGATTTCTTTAAATATTACTTCACATCTGTTATCTTAGTAATTCGGGAATCGGACAACCTGTGTACTGCCTTTTTGGGGTTCAATATTCATGTAAAGTAATACTAATAAACATTGTGCACCTTGATGTACAATATCATTAATTATAATTCTCACGAATTGATTTGGTTGACATAAATTATATAGTGTGCCTACACAGACATCTGATGCACATGTACGCACATTCACTGCTTTCCTATCACCAATAGCATCATACCGTTTCAAGATCATTGTTAGATATCAATATTTGTTTCAAATTAAGTAGTTTTCTAATTGTTACGGGTATGGATATCAATGTGTTATGTTTCACAGCTAAGTATATAAGTTGCGTATGGTCGCCGATGTAGAGACTCCAATCTATTATCACTCATATCCAATTCAGTAAGGCTCTGTAGACTACCGATGCTATCAGGTAAATATTTAAATAAATTATTGCTCCAATCCATATTAGTAAATAAGTGAATACAAACGAGTCATACATGATTATACTTGATATGGACTTCCTTTACAAAAAGTAAATATACAAACTCCTAAAATCCCAAATTCCTCGCATCGAGTACAACCTATACAGGGGATCGTCACAAAGTTGCATTGATGTTGTCATGACGACGCTCTCAGTGGTGTATTCCACATGCAGTTATGAAACGCATGTAAAGTATTAAAACTATTGGTTGAACAATTAACACTGTCGATTATAAAAATGGAGGGTTCTAGCGTAATAAGTTTGGAAAAGAACCGGGGACATATGGTAACGATTGTAGTTTCAATAAATACATTGGTATGTTATACTACTGGTGTCTTTATGACTGAATAGTGCGTATAAGTGTCGAGCGATCCTAATGTACTACTCACCGCCTTTCGAGTTACCCATTCCCCGATAAAACCACTTTCCGTACATTCAACCCGAAGAGCCATTTACCTATAACAACCCTGATAGTAGAAACCCGTTCTGTTCATACACTGCACGACGAATGCCATGTATATTCGTAGGGTGATTTGCTTATATTCTAAGGTTTTGCCTCGATCATATATACATACAAACATACATTTCAATGTCTTCACCGTTCACCATTTCTTTCATTTTGTCTAACTAAGACAGGGGTTAACAGTTTGCCCATCTTACCAGATACACCTTTCTTTAAAACTCTTAAGCTTAACATTCTCCGACATCTCACAATAAAATTCACTATAAACATCTGAGTGTCACTCAGGCGAACTTCAAATTTATCCACTATTTCATTAATATGTTTAATTTTTTTCATTTGTTGGTAGTTTTTTTTACTACGATTATCTTCATTTGTTCTTTGACAGCTGAGTGTACTGTATTCATATGTATGCGGCTCTTGCCCACATGTGACCGACCAATTTGCATAGTGAGATCTTAAAACAATACATTCATGATGTCAAGTCTTCATGTCTCACCAGTTGGTCTCAAAGAGTTATTGAATTACATACGTGTATTTTATGCGCATATATTAAATAATTATTGTAATCAGCGAAAAAACACACTGATTAGATAGGTTAGAAACCATTCACATATCATAATATTTAAATTCGCACATTACATTGTTATTGGCGAACTTGACTATATCTGAGCATGACGTTTTCAGAATGGCTTTGTTTTGTGCACAGGCGCATCAAGGCATGAAAGGAATAGATCGTTCGTTCGTTCGTTCGTTCGAACGAAAAAAAATATCCCTTGTGTACAATTTGTCACAGTGTAAGGCTTGCTTATTGATATTGAAAAGGACTCGCACTGGACAGGGGGTTCTTCTTACCGGGTAGTACATGCTGTTAGCTGTGGTTAACA